TCGGATTTTCCAGTACCTGGAGGGATCACCAGTAAAGGCTGTGAAACAGCGAAGATGGCAGCCTGCCCCTTTTTCTGGGAGCTCCATCCTAGGGAGGAATGGACCTGTTGCCAACCCGAACACACCTATAGGAGGTGGCTGGAGACCTTAGCTGGGTAGGTCTCACCCACTGGCCTCACCCAGTCAGCCAGAATGGGACTGGGGACCTGCTTAAAGAAGCAGTCTGGGCACAGTTTCACAGAAGAGCTGTGCTGTACTGGAGTACTGCTTCCACCCCCAGTCAGCTTAGGCTCTCCAAAGCCTGGAGGCTGGAATGGCTAAGTCACCCAAACAGCAAAGATCATGGCCCATCCATCCCTCTGAGAGCTCTGTCCTACGAAGTTTTCAAATCTCTGTTGACCAGAGAACATAAGCAGGAGTGGCTAGGGGGTCCTAGTTCAGGGTGGGGGTCCCACTCAGTGAGGAGAAACATATTGGGGAACTACTTAAAGAAGCAGTTTGGCTACATTTTGGTAGAGCAGCTGTGCTATGTTGGGAGATCCCTTCCACCCACAGGCTGGAATGGCTGAGTCTTCCAAATAGTTGAGATGGAGTCCTGCCCCTCCCCACCCCTTGATTTCTGTCCCAAGTAGGTGCAACACTGTTGCTGGTAGCTGACTGGAATTCCAAGCCTGTGGACTTTATCTTGTGAGATGTTGTGGAAATGGGGCCTGCAGACCATCACTGCTCAGCCTGCTGAATTCATAGTGGTATGTACAGAGGTCTCACCTCCCACTTTGCTGGGGTTGCTGTTACTTTTGCTGGGAAACCCAGAGCAGGAATATATAAAGCACCTAGGTCTATCTGTGTGCATAAATGGCTGATCTGCCAAGACTCCACTTTGCTGTGTGTATCAGACTGAAGGCCCTGGTGGAGTGAGTTCACAAGAGGATCTCCTGACCCAGGGGTTGCAAGAGTCCATGGGAGAAGTGTGGTTTTCCAGGATCACACGTTCACTTACCACTTCCCTGGCAGGGGATGTTCCCTTGGCTCCATGTCACTCCTGGGGGGGCCATCCTTTTGCCTTGCCTTTCTGTTCTCTGTGGGTCAAGTTGTTCCCTTGATTAGTCCCAATACAAGTAACTGGATGTTTCAGTTGAAGGTCCTGTATTTATTCAATGCTCTTGTTCCTCTCTGTGAGAGCCACATACCCTAGTTGCTTATAGTCAGCCATCTTGGCCACTGAGGGACAAGTTTCTAGAATTTTTAAAAACACATTCTGAAAGACACACACACTTCTGTTTGCTACATTGATGATTTGGGTATCAGTTTTTCTGTTTGGTTGAATATGGTGCTTTTTTATGATACGGATTTCCCCAAATGCTTGCTTTTTCTTGACTGACTATTGGATGTTTTGACCTAATCCTCATTATTCCTTTACAGCACAATACGGCAGTTCATTTCACAGCTGAGGAAACCAGGAACCAGAGAGAGTAAGTGACAGCCAAATTGAGGTATTTAGTGCTAAAATGGTTAATAAATCCCATATATCTGCTGATTCCTTGCCTAGTGCCTTTTCTAAAATGTAACATGTTATTAATGGGAAGTCTTAGAAAATGTGTTAGCTTATTTTAAAATCTATCCTCTTTTAACATATCATATCCTATTTCTGGTCACATTTCTTTAGCTGAAAGACTTTGACATGCCTTGTGTCCTTGGCGGAAAACTTAGACAAGCCCACTTATTCTTGTGTTTTATATGGAATAACTTCTAAAAGAATCCAGTACCTGGACACGTTCAACAAATAAAAAGCTAGAACATTATAAAACTTTAGAAAAAAATCAAACCCAATTTCTTACTTTATCAATTCAATTAACAGGCAATATGTGTGTGCTTACTAAATATTCATAAATGCTGAGATATGTTAAAAGTACATTTATACAAAACATCTAGGAAAATGAAGCCAAAAGAGACTAATTCACTGGAAAAACCTCATGGGCCTACTCAACAGTGATATCAGGACTAGAGCTCATGTTTCCTGACTCAAAGTCCAATGTTCAACATCCATTTGATTTACAAGGGTACTATTCTGCACAGCCTATAAAACATAGGCTGGACCAGCCTACTCACAGTATGTGCTCAACTGCATTCATTATCTTCCTTTGTAGTTTATAGAAAAAAGACAGTGCTAGTCATGAAATGTATAATGCACTTGTACATTTTAAAGCTGAAGACCTTTATTTAGTTTGTTTTCAAATTTGTAATCACAAAATAAATAGCAACATATTGAGGCAATGAGCTAGCTCCAGTGGCCTTGATTGATTTGCAACTCTCTCTCTCTTCCTCTCATAGAAAAAAAATTCTGTGTTCCTGAAACTAGCATTTGTATGCAACTTCAGTAAATCATACTGTCAACGTTTTGTGACCATTCTTACTGAATCCTATTAAAGGCTTGATATTGCTTTGTAATCATAAGCATACAAAAGTGTTCTAACTGGGCTGTTTAAGGATATGAGTATCCCAGATTACATGGGCAGAATGCCTTTAATGCATTACTAGACATCTTGATCTCCTGATCAGAAACAGTATTTATTGATAATGCATCTTCATTAGCATAGAGATATGAATAAATATAATTGAAAGGGGATTGGATTTGCCATCAAGTACCTTGGGTTTGAAAGAATCTTGGCCTTCTCAAAGTCTTGGCTTATATATCTTAAAAATGGGGCAATGATGGCCACTTCCTCTGAGATTTTTAAGATTTAATTGAAAGAATGCATGTGAAATTATCCTGACACATATAAGGAGTTTAACAAAGCTTAATTTTCTTTCCAGTTTGCTTAATGTTTGCTATTTTCAAAACCTTTTTTTTTCCTAATAATGTAATAACTAGCTTTGACAGCAGCGACAAAGCCATACACAGCTCATGCATGCTCTTTCCCTGAAGACCAGCTTTCTCCATTAGCATCTGAACACGGCAAATCCAAATCTCTCCTAAAATCTTCTAAGTGACTTCAAAAGCCCTGTGTGCATTAGTCTGGATCACTTGAGTATATATTGCACATTTAATTAAACCTGTTATTTCTGGAAACAAAAACAAAACATTTAGGAAGAAGTGTTTTGAGAAACCATTGCTTTTCCAATAATGTGACATGTGAATAATTTAAGAAATTGTTTAAAGCCATACTTTATTTTAATTGGTTTCTGAACCCATTCATTTTCAAACTGTGCTTTTATTTTCTTCATCTACCATTGCTTTGTGCCACTTCTCTTTGAAGTTATCTGTTATTCTTAAAAAAGGAACTGGATGGGAATTAACTTGCTTCTGACTATATCCATTTATCCACTTGAAGATCACTGTGGCACACTGAAAAATGCACTAGTTTTGAAAAATGACAAAGCTCCCAGGATCGAAAAGGTGCTTATCCTCTCACAGGAATCTATTTGTTCTGTTATTTTGCTTTCCTTGGCAGCTAGGGCTAGATTCTTCAAAGGGAGATGCAGATTCTATTTTTCTTTATCTTTCCTACTATGAAAATTATGTCTTGCTTCTGCATTGGCAAGGTTTTGCATCAAAAGTCCTTTCCTATTTGCACTGCAAATAAAAATCACAACCCCATTGTAAATTGCTTTAACACCTTTTCAACAATCTAAACCTTACGAGGAAAGATATGTTGGCTATTGTGTTTACATTATAAATGCTGCACAGAGGTGTGTTTATAAGGAGGTTGTGTGTTTGATCTTCCATTCCTCAGTCCTTCCCTTGGTATTATCAGCACGTAGAAAATGGAATCTGTCTAATCTATTCCGACTGAATTAAATGCACCAAATGTATTTCACTTTGAATTTCAATTGGTCCAAAACCTTTGTCTTAACCACAGAAAGTCAGTAACTTATCCGGTTTTTGTCCTCTTGTGTTACCTCCTTCGTGTTCCAGGACTTTGGATAAATATGGTGCCAAATGCAGTAGCTCTTGGAACTCATGGCTTCCCATACCTCAGGAGACACAGGTCAGTTTTCCCCAAGAATTCTCTCATGTCCCATGCCCACAATGACATAAATACCACGGAATCCTTCTACCTGCCTTGAGATAGACACGAATAACTAAATAAAGGATAATGCTAGAGCTTTCACATTAGATAGTCAGGTAACAAGAGATGAAAAATGGCCTTTCATTATCTGAGAAGTCTCTTGTATCTAGGCACAGGGTCCCAATATTGGATGCTGACCACCTCTTAAAATGTCCTGTATAGATGGTTTATCTTTTCCCATTAGAATGTTGGTGTTTTTATCATTTATCATCTATCAACATTGGGATCTAAAAGGAGACTAACAAAAGCCTCATTAACATCTTGTAAATCATGTATGACTTTGATTAAAAAAAACTAAATTGTAATAGATAAATGTTTAAAGAGTGAAAAACGAAGAATGATTGTAGACTTTGGTAGAAATTCCTATTGTGGCACAACTATGGGACTCTAGAAGATTTTTTCCTCTTGCTTTGATTAAAAGTGCAGTTTCACATGAAATAGTGTGATATTTCATCTCTAGCTCCAAGGGAGGCTCTGTGGAGATTGTCATTAACCAGTGTGGTCAGCCAAACCAGCAGCTTCCCTGATTAGTTCCTCCTGCTGTTCAGTATAGACAAAACCTCAATCACAGGATGTTCTGGAGAGCTTGAGTGTCCATATTCCAACTGTGCTACCTAGAGAACTGTCAAGTGTCTGTAAATATTTTGCAGTTCCTTAGGAAAAAGTGTTAGCCTTCTAAAAAACAGCAGAGTGAGACTGTTCCTGCACCTAGCCCTGGTTCTTGGTGGCCTTGGTTTGCTTGCTTATTCTCATCATTCCGTCTGTCTGCTTAATCCCCTATCTGTCTCTACTTCTCTCTTTATGTGGTATATGCCAAAGAGTACTGTTCTTCTGACACATTATCTTCCTCCTAGAATCTGCAGAAAATCACTGATTATCCTTGACTGACTCATTCACGACCTTAGTAGGGACTGGAAAGTCAGTCTCTGCACAGAAGAAATATGCCTGGATATGCAGCGGGGATGGAAACGGGATTCCCATATGTTATTCCTCAAAATTCTCAGGTTGATCATCTTAATTTAACATTCCCTTTTTCTCACTCCCATTGCTAAGGTGGAAAAAAGAAACTTAGTCATCATTACATTAATTCCAAGTTCTTTCTGATCAACTTGCCATTTTAACATACTTTGTCCCATTTTCTCTCCCAGATGGTGAGTTTGAGTCTTCTGAGAGAACTAACAACTTCAGAGCCTTGAAATGTGCATCCACCACACAAAACTATCTGTAAGTACATTGTTTGTTTTGAACAAACCTTCTGTCCTTTTTCTATTTGATTAATAAGAATAATCAAACATCTAAATAAAAATCATTGTCTGTTACCACTGGAGAGTGTCCAACCTAGTAGTCACAGACAGCTTGGAAGGCTGGCAAAAGGCACGATGCATTGTGCTGGGGGACATCCAAGCCGGCATGGAGGGACCTGTGTGCCATCTGCCCTCACCACTTCTGCTCGGATCCCAGTCCTATCATTTTAATCTCGTTAGAACAAGATTCTTGTCAAGCCAAGAGATGAGATTTAGCTGCAGCTCCCAGTTTCACAAACTAAAGAAAGCCTCACAATGAGGAGGCCAGCTTCTTGAAATATCTTGAACGACCTCTCAGCTCTCAGGTACAAACATATCTCTCAGTACTGCATATTCTATAAAGGGTGGGGTACCTTTTCTCTGTAATTTACTTTTCCACACCATGAGATTTGGGAAGAGTTGAAACCTTTCAGGGTATAACTGTATGCTCTCCATGCACAGTGCTGGAAGATATTATGTGTTAATTGTTTGTTGCTTGAGAGCAAAGCAGGCCCACTGAGAAGCTGTCCCTTTCATATTTGTAAAGTTGCATTTACCAGGAAGCAAAGTTCATGAGAAAAAAAAAAGCTGAAACCCTTTCTTCACAAAATAAAAACACATTATTGACACCCTATTTAATGGCAACATTCAATTGTTTCTTTTCCATCTTTATTTCCCCTCTAAGGCCCAGCTTATTGGCTAAGTATGTGCCTGGAACATGAAGGATGACAAGGAGATGGAATTCTGGCTCAGCAGTTTCAGACCCAGCCCCCAACTCACTCAGCCATCCCCCCTCCTCCTCTCTTGCTTTTCTCTTCTCTCTTCCCCCGCTCTCCCGCCTCCTGCTGCAGATCTCTTTCTGCTGCCTGGCAACCGCACCACAGGCAATGTCACACAGAATTGCTTATTACAGCTTCAGAGAAATAAACAGGAAGAGGAAAATTCTTGCTGTTACATTAGAACTGTTATGTACAATGTTCCAAAACCAGGTAATTCCAAGAGTGATATTATACTAGAATTTTGCACGATGATACCTAGGTCTTTCCTTACGTAGATAGAGAGAAGATGAAGGAAAAATGAACAGAGAGTTTTTAGATGGCTTTTAGCCAGCAATGTATTTAATATATCCATTTCGTTGGCACAGACTTCAAATATAACTATTTCTGAGCTTTGAGGACTTGAGCAAGAAATGTTACAGTTGTGATTTGAAAAGTGCAATGTGAATATGAAGTGTAAGGTTCTACTGCTTACCATTATTATATTCACTCATAATTATCGTGTAGATGTTTTTCACAAGGCTTAAGGGCATCCTGTCGAATATCTGGTAAGGCAGTCAAGACCTGTCTTTCTTTTAGTGTCATTTATTTGCTTACATAAGGGTCTTTTTGTTTTTTTAGATATTCCCTAAATTTATTGCTTCCAGCAGCTGATGTGTCGCCTACTGGATCAAATGAGCACGAGAGACCTGGTGGCCCTTCCAGGAATGACACTATTACAGAGAAGATTAACAATTAAATAAATCACTAAAATAAACTCTGCTAACGCATAAAATGGAAAAATCTTTTTCCATTTTCTACTTAGGATTCTGTGCCTCTCTGCAACAGGAATGGTTCTATATCAGGATTTCCTTTTGTGTCCCATCTGTTTAGCCAGGCAGTGGAAGGAAGCAGGTTTCTTCCTAATTCAGTTTCCTGAGCGTGATATCCAGAGAGCATAAACACTATTTGAAGTGTATCCCTCCAGAAATCTAAACTCATCTTTAACCTGATTGTAAAATACTTTTGAGTTCCAGATCCCTATTCTTGTTGACCTGAGTCATTGAAAACAGTACGACTGGCCTATTTACTAGGGCAAGTTAACTACAAATCATAACCAAGACTCCATCCTTGACCTCTTCTTGCACATGAGTCAGCTTTAAAGGCATGGGTCCCCAGTGCAAAATCACAGTATGTGAGAGTGTAGGGAATCCTAGGCATAATGGGTGATTGATGTATGTACCCTGATAGGGCAGGGCAGGGGTGGTGCCAGGGTTTCTAACAGGGTTAATTATTGGCAAACAGTAGGTGTCCAAGGTATGGATGAGAGAAGTCAGTGTAGAATCATTTGGTATGACATTGGAATCAGTGACTGTCACTGGGGAAAATTATCATAAACAACTAGACAAAAGTGTCAGATAACCAAGGTTCCCTGCCTAGAATTCTGGATGAGGCTGTTTTTAGAGAGAGTGGAATAAAAAAGAAAGAAGTAATCAGATATCCAGGCAGGCAGACTGTGCCAAACACAGATGGGCTAGATGGGAGGGCCCCAGCCTGATGCCCCTTTCATCAGTCAGACCAGAATATTTACCTTCAGGACCAAGAAGCACAATCTCACTATGTCCGGCCACGAATGCCTCTGCTCACTCCTTAGAATTCAATAGTTTGGTGACTAGATGAGACTTCTGGAAGGCACCCTTTGCTTGTGGTGTATAGGACATACCAGGCAGATGTTAGAGAGGAGAAGCAAGGCAGGACTACTAGCACTGAGGTCAGGAAGCTCATCCAGGGCACAGGCTTTGATCAGACCAAGCTCTGAATCTCAGTTCTGATATTTCATGATTATGTGAACTTGGGAAAATTACTCAAGCTCTTGGAACCTCAGTTTTTTCATCTATAGGCTTTCAATGAATGTCATTAATAACTGTTTGATTAAAATTACTATTATACTTTAAAGGACCAAAAACCAATTGCAGGAAATCTTTATAATATGAAAGCAAAAATAGGAAGCAATTAAATTATTCTATCTACATTTATGGAATTGAAAAATGATGATAAGTAGAATTAATAACATTAAATGGCATGCTTTCAAAAATTGAAATTACAGAATATATGTCAAACTCAAAGAATTTTCTTTCTCTATGTCTTACCTTACTCCAAGCTTGCCTCCCATATCACAATATGTGCATGTGCTGCAAACATTAAGGACTTTGTCTTACAGGCTAAAACTCTTAGGCCAATAATCACACTACGTGACCTGGTAATTGAAAGTTGTGTGGAGGGCTTGTTAACCATCATAGAAAGCTTTGCTGTATACTGTTACGGTACATTTTTTACTTACCTCTGGGAAGTGAAAAATTCTGCGTGTTCCCTCTGCAACCAGCTGGGCAAGTTTAACTTGTCCATACACTTTCAAACAGGCAGTTTGTGAAGAATTCCAATTCCATCTAGGGAAATCTCTACTTTCATTCTAGGCCTCATTCGTCCCCCTCTTATTGTCTTCCTGGGCTTCTGACCTGCTGGACTCTGTCTCTGCTTTCTTGCCTGTGCTTTCCACTTGGTTCTGACAATAGAATGTGTTAGGAAGATTCCACTTTCAATTTAAACTCATCCCTACCTTCTCCATGGTTGACAGATTATCTCATATGACTGAGCTATGGTCTTCAGGAACTTAGCATCAGGCACCTAAGCAACAAAATCTGATTCTCAATTAGAGGTAAATCAGGCAGGCATGTATCTATTTTTCTAAAGTTATGAAAGAAATTACAAAACCCCATAGCCCAGTATTTTTCAGAGGAGTTTAAGGAGCAGCTGCATCAAAGTCACCTAGGGGCTTATTAACAAATCAGGATTTAGAACCCAGTCCTGGATTTACTAGCCAGCGCCCCCAGGCGATTGCTATAAACATTAAAGTTTGAAGCTCGTTGCCATAATCTCTTGAAGATTTGGACCAAAAAAAAAAAAAAAAAAAAAAACCCTTAAAAGTGAATAAGTGACAATATAAATCCAGCTTTTCAGTAACAGTTTTTTTTTTTTTAATCCCATCTAGCCAGACCTTTAGGAAGGATTTCTGTGTAAGAATATAGATCTATCCTTTTTAAAGTTAGCAGACCATTGACATAAAAACAAAATAAAGCAAAACAAAGAGATTCATGAAGGGCAACAAATAAGACACATAATACATTAAATTATCCTGTTTACTAAGGACTCCTAACCACTCACCCATTTATTCAACAAATACTATTAAAAGACTATTGTATGTCTTAGGTGCTGAAGGCATCGGACCTTAGTCTAAACAAAACAAAGTCACCTTTCTCACTGAGGTTTCATTCTGGTAGGGGAGTCAGGCAATGGATAACTTAAAAAATAAATCTTTTCAGGTAGTAATAAATGCCTTGAAAAAGAGTGAAGCGGCACTGGAGATAAGGCAGGAAAAGCTGTTTTGGAGGGAGAAAGGGATAGGGAAAATCCTCTGAATGATGTGAAAGAGGATCCATACGGAGATAGGGGGAAAGAGTCTTCTAGGCAAAGAAAGCAGTGAGTGACAGGCCATGAGGCCGAGACTGCATTGGTGAGTTTTAAGAAAAGCAGGTAGGCCAGGGTGGCTGCACTGAAGAACAAGGGCAAATGGTGGGAGATCAGGGCACGGAAGGGTGCAGGGCTTTGTAGGTTACAGTGAGGAGGTCATACTTTACTTAACTCATAATGAGAAGATACTGCAGTTTTGAACAGGGAAGTTGTATCACCGTATGTACATTTTTTAAAAAATCACTCTTTTATGTAAAGTACAGACCATAGAGGAGAAAACTTGGAAGCTGGAAACCATCCTGGAGTTATCTCAGTAGTCAATAGAAAATAAAAATGGTAGTGTGGGTGAGAGTCCTATCAGTGTGGATAGAGGAGGACAACTTCAGGATATATTTTGGAAGCAGAGCTGGCAAGACTTTTACTGTGTATGGAAAATGAAGGAAATAGAGAAATCAAGGATGCCCCATATGATTTTGGCCTGGCCAACTGATTGAATAGTAGTGCATTTTATTAAAATGTGGAGTCTACAGGAAGAGCACATTTGGAGAATATATGGAATTCTCTTGTCATGATAAGTTTATAAAACCTCACAGATATCAGAGTCAAGATGTTAAATGTGGAGTTGGGTATAATAATCTGAAGCTTGGAGCTCTAAAGTGGACATAAAAACTTGAGAACCATCAGTGTTTAGATATCTAATGCCAAAGAAATGGAGAGGCTCTCCCAGGCAGTGACTATCCACAGAGAAGACAAGATGGGGAATGGAACCCTAAACTACCCTAATATTGATGTTTGGAGGATAGAGGAGTAGGAGCCAGTTGAGGAGGCTGAAAAAGAACAGCCAGTGACGTAGTAGGAAAATGAGTGTGGCATCCTGGAAGCCAGGTGAATGTTTTGGGCATAGGATTATCTCATGGTGTGTAGTGATGGAGATGGCAATTTGGTAGCATGAAAGAAGGTTCATAGCCAAGGGTAATAATAAATACTTGGGTGTTAGTTACTCTCACTTACTTTGTATTTTAATGAATGAAGGACATAAGAAAGGTCCAAGTGAACTCTCCCAAAGGACCTCCAAAATGGAGAAAACAACATTGAAAACACCCTGACAAGCAGAGACATAAAATGCCATTTTCCCTAAGGGACAGAGACATGTCTAAAAGATAGGAGGTTTTTTTTTAGACTTCTCCCAACAGTAAATCAACATCATTAAACAGCTTATTGAAAAGGGCAGAATAAAATATGCTGATTAGACCTGCTATATCTTCTTGGCATTTGGGAGAGGAAAGGTTAAGGTTGAATAAGTAGTAACTGAGAGCTAATATTCTTAGCTTTCCAGTAGGTCACACAGCAATTTAAGCCACATGAAAAGGAGAAGGTGGGAGGGCAAAGGCATATTTCAGGTTGTGGTGGATTGTGTTTTTCTATGTGCTCACTAGCTCAGAGACTTTACAGAAATAATGACACCCTGACTAGACAGGAAAGGAAATTGGTGCCCCTGTTTAGTATTTATTGAGTGCCCAGAATGAGAGACATTTAGGACGCTTACATGTTGGGTGGCTAGAAAGTTGTGGGACCGATTCCACATTTCATTACTTGGTGTGCAAACCTGGTATGATTTCTTTTCCACAGGGTTAGTTTATAAGGCATCTAGAAATACAGATCTCATACACAGTGTTTTTAAATCTATAAGAAAAAATCTTTCTCTCTCATGCACAGTATTGATTAATTTTGACTTTTTGTTGACATATAATTTAGTTCTTTTTTTTTTTTTTTAATGTGTTCGCAGATTTAAAGTTAATCCCACAAAGGAGACCAACTGCTAGCCAGATATTTTTCTGGGGGCTATTTTTAAAAATCTGTCTACTCAGATTTTTAGGAAGGATTTTCTCTCTAAGAGTGTGGACCTATCTATTTTATGTGAATAGACCACTGATTTACAGAATCAGTAGAAATTTCACTTCATGGGAAATGAAATCACAAAAATAAAAGGTAGTCTCCACTGCCAGGTTGAAAGAACAAACCTAACTAAATTCTGACGCTATAATAGGATCAGATGTTTGGTAAAGTTGATCTCTTCCTTTTCCTGATTTATCCTCTGTATAATTCAGGATACTTTGCAGGAATATGGCTGCACTGGATTAATCTGCACCCTATGAAGTTGCAGAAAAAATGTGATTATCCTCACTAACTGAAGGGAACAAAAGCATAGGCAATCCAAAATG